ACACTTTAAATCTCTGTTCATGTCGAAAAAAAACTTATTTATAAATCCCTTAGCCAGTAGCACCACCAAAACCAGCCTTACATGTGAGTGTCATTGTTTTAATAGCTTTGTCGTTCATTTTCAAGTGCCTCAGCACCGGTTCCTGAACTGTACAGATTCTTTGAAAAGTATGAATCATTATATCTTTTAAAGGAACTGAAGTCCTCTACTGTTATATTTGAAGGATAGAATTTTAATTTTTCATCTCTGACATTATTGTAAGCGGGGTAAAGGTTTTGTTCTTTCTCCAAAGCTCCGCTTTTAATCAATTGATTAGAAGCTTTTGTCAGACTGGCATCAATTATTAACGCCAGTTTATTTAGTTGCTTTATTTGTATTTAAAATATTAAAAACGTTCATGGCAGCACTAACAATATATTCATCTCTAAATTTTTTATTAGCAACGAAAAATAATTCACTGGATGAATGGGATTCAATTAAGCAAGATACACACTGTTTTTTACTTTTTTTTATACAAGTAAACAAATTGTTGAACAGCATGTCTAAAATTGACAACTTAATATTCAGCAAATTTTTGCTGAATTAATTTCAATAAATCTTCAGTAATATTTTGTTTTGAAATACTAAGATTGTTTTTTTGGAGAAAACTATGAATGTCTGAGTTTAATAAAACTACATCTAAATAATTCTTATAACGAATATTTTACATTTAAAAAATTAATGTTATAATATATATGCCGCGTGAACTACTAATTCTTGTTGGTAATTAAGTTACTGCAAGTGTTAGTAATTAAAACTAAGTGTAATTATATTACTGTCAGTGTTAAAACTTAATTTACTGACAACTACCGAAATTTTTTTTTTTTTTTTTTTTTTTAAGTTGATTAAGGTGCCCCAAGAAGTCCTTACGGTCTTATCACAGAATACCGCGGAAGAGCATTTAATAGGAAGTTTACGCCTCCTTCTCAACCGATGTCGTAAAACTTGCCCAGAGGTGGGGTTTGAACCACGGATCTTACGTTTCTGAGGCAAGTGCGCTATTACTGCGCCACGGCTGCTCAACAAAAATATGTTGTTTATATGCTATAGCTTGGTTTCGCTTTATTTATAGTTGTAAAAATGTTGTACAACAATCGTGCAACAACAAAAAAAAGAAGCTTGTCATCAATAATTTTTACAAAAATTAAACAGAAAAAAGAAGTTTATCACCAAATGCTTAAACTAGTAACAGTCGTTACTTGTTAAAGTATATAATTTACAGTTATATGATTATTGTTTTAAAGTTATACTAACGCAATTACTTCCAACACACTTATAAATAAAAATTACAAAAACATTTTTTAAAGCAGTGTATTATTTTACATAACATAACTATTTTCATGTCTTAGAGTTTATTTAAAAAAGTTTTAGATATAGTTAATAGAAATAAAAATAGTAAATGCATTATAGATTTTTGATAACTTTTGATTTTTTGACACCTTAAAAAAAAATAATTTATAATTATCAGAATTTAAAATAAAATCAATGAGTTAACAAAAAATAAAAGAAACAAAGGAAAGAAAAGTAACATAAAAAATATATAAAAAAAACACAACAATTTTTTTTAAAATAGAACTAATAAATAATGAAAATAGTTTATTACCAATTAAATTATCAAATAATAATAATAATAATAAAAACAAAAATAATATTTACAATAATAACATTAATAATAATAATAGTAGTGATAATAATAATTTTAAAAATACCATCAATAAAATAATGTTACAAAAAATGATTATAATAACAATTTCAGCTAATGATAAAACAATATTAAAAATGTAATAAAAACTTTCCAATTCTATAAAAAATGTTATAGTAAAAACAAAAGTAAAAAATATTTTTTTTATAGCATATAAAAGGAAGTAATAAATAAATTGATTAATTAATATTTTAATTTGTATAATATTACCAAATTTTTTTTTTCTGTTAACAAATAAATCTATATCTTAAAGCGAATTAAAACCTATTTTAAACTTTTCCTTAATAATAAACTTTTAAATCTTTTTATTTTAATTTCAAAAAAGTATTTGTCTCTTTTTATTTATAATTTAGTTTCAAAATCCTGGCGCAAAAACTAACAACAACCTAAACTTCATAATATATTTGGCTTCCTTTAACGTCTTATTAGATGGTAAATATGTTATTATTTCTTGATATATATATATATATATATATATATATATATATATATATATATATATATATATATATATATATATATATATATATTTATATATACTTACATATATAAATATACACGTACAAAGACACATGCATACATACATATATACATACATACATACATACATACATACATACATACATACATACATACATACATACATACATACATACATACATACATACATACATACATACATATATACATACATGCATCCATACATACATACATACATACATACATACATACATACATACATATATACATACATACATACATACATACATACATACATACATACATACATACATACATACATACATACATACATACATACATACATACATACATACATACATACATACATACATACATACATACATACATACATACATACATACATACATACATACATACATACATACATATATAATACATTTAATCTAAAATACCATAAAAACAGCTGGTTTAACTGGTCTAGGAAGATATTTTAATAAAAAAAATTTGTAATTTTCATTTTCAGGATGTTTGGTTTTTTTGAGAAATTATTTAAGTAAATATACATGTTAAAATGATTTTTGAGTAAAATGTTATTTATTTGTTCTTTTCATTAAAAAATTTACAATGTTTGACAAAACTGTTGTTGGTTTATATTTCAAAAAATTAATTCAGTTGTGTTTAATTTCAATTTCATGTCAATTAATCTTTTATAAGTTAGAACAACTATTGCTAAGTTTGCTTTCTCTATAAATGACACTTTGCTATCTATTATGGCAAAGGAATCATTGTTAAATCTAAATACATACTATGTTTGAATAAAAGGTTTAAAACAGCACCAACAGCATCTGGTTTGGCAGAAAAATTTTGATTATTATAGCATCATTTGCTTGTAAATACCATTATGCATAAAAGCAAAATTTAAATTTATTTATGAGCTTAATTACATTTTTAAGTATATTGTTCTGATTTACAAACTCGAGTTGGTTGGAAAGAAGTTGTAGCTTTAGATAATACAATCTATTGAACAGGAACTTAGCATGATGAACTACTGCAGGTTTTCTCAGTTTTACTGAAGATGGAAAAAGGCAATTCGCAACAATTTCATCAACAATTTCAACAAAAATAATGAAGTTTATGAGTTTCTTACTAATTTATTTAAAAAATGCAATAGAAAAGTGTTAAAATATAAAAAAAGTATAAATGATAAATCAAAAAGATAATTATTAACTAAAGTCATAACATAAATACAACTTGTGCAAGCGAGCTATGAATTTTTGAAAAGAAAACTTTAAAGACTCTTAATTAAAAACATTTGAAAGAAAAACATTATTTGCCATCAAACTTTTCCATCATGTACTCTCATATTTTCAGTTAATGAAAACTTTCGCATTCATTGATAATATAAACAACATCTACAACATGCCTTTACAACTTAAGATGCTTGCTGTTTATTCACAACAGGCAATATTTTCAATAGTGTTGTACTATTTAAACTAGCAGTATGCAAATGGTGATCTCTTATCACTAATTTCTAAATTTAATATCATTTTTTTTTCTGGTTTGTATTTTTATTATAGTAAATAGTTAAGTTATTAGTAAAACAGATAAGGTTTATTCTGATTAAAAATGTAAGAGTATACAACTTATTATAATTTAAAATAATAAAAGTTTATCTTTTATCTAGGATACAATAAAACAAGTCCGTAATACAATATAAACATAAAATTTATAAACTCTATAGTTATTTTTACTTTTAGTATCTTTGCTTTTAGTTAAGCACATAAAAAGACATAGATGCATAAACATTAGAGGTTTAAAATAAAAAATAGTTTTAAGACTTTCAAATAATCATTTTATTTTTTTAATGAGCTTTTATATTGTGAAAAAATAACAACAATTTAAATGTACCTACGCTTAAAAAGTCAATTGATTATGGTTCATAAGATTACAAAAAAAAAAATGATATATACAACGTTAAGTTTGTTAAACGTTTGTTCTATCGAGTATCAATTTTAAACTTATATTTATGTTAACTAATACAGTTGCAATAGCTTTGGCTGTAAATTTGTTAAAAAAATGTTATTTTTTTAATATCTAATCGTAAAATAAATTTAATAAAGCATTACAAGTTCAGTTAGTACACAACAATTAAAATTTCAAACAAAAGTTCTACTGCAACCAAGAAGTTGCAACCAAGGAAAAAGAATTTGAATAATTATCTAAAAAATAATATATTTTGTTTGAATGAATCTCAAAAATGATTAGGAAAAATATGTAAACTGACAAAAATAGGCAAAAAGGAAACCAATTTATCAGTTTGACATCAAACTGTAAAAATGTGAAAACACAAATAAAGAAAATTTACTATTTATTATTAGAATTATGGGGTCAAAAAATACAAAAATATCAGGATCCAACAATAGAAAAATATCAGTTTCAAGGATAAAAATATCAGTATCAAGGATAAAAAAATTGAATAATAATAAAAAAAAATACTTAGACTTCGATAGTTTATTAATTATAATAAAATACGATGACGTAAAAAGATGGACTTTGGTTGCATTCTGAAAACAAAAATCTTTATTTAAAGTTATTAGAGACATCTGGTAGAGTAAGATAAGCTACAAAAGTCTTGATGACCCTTAAAAAAGTACATTTCTTAAAAAAAGTAAAATTGAAAACGTTTGAATTCCATTAACTTAAATTCTGAATAAATACAGAGAAGAACACGAAAGAGTAATGATAATAAACTTTTAATAAATATGATTAAACAAAAAATTAAGCAAAGAACAGTCAAACCTGTTAAATTGGTTAATCGAGGAAAGTTGAGTATACCAAAACTGCCACGGTGTGTTAACAATTTTAGATGAGTTGTGTGAATCTTTCTGCACCAACTTAACTAGCAATCCATATCAGAGTCATCAAAAAAGTTAAAAATTACAAGATAAATTGAGAAAAGAATAAAAGGTTGAGAATTGGTGTTTGCATTTTGATTGTAAAAAGGTAACTGGGGTGGAACATTAAGTTTTTGTGACAAAGAACAATGAAAGAGAGATTAGGCTGAAGCCAAATGTATTAAAGAATGTAAAGTAAAAAACTTTTTAAGAACTTCAAAAACACTTGAATGAATATAATTTATCTTGACCTATAAAAATGAGAAACGCTACAATTATATATCCTGGCATTTATATGGTGCGATAAAGAGATTAATCACACATTTTAAAAGTGTTGGTTTTGAGAAACCTGGCTATGTTGGTTGTCGAAACCATATAATAGATCAAACAATAAAGTTATGTTTGGATGATTATTTTGAAATTAATAACATCCAACTGATCTGTCATTTTATTTTATTGATGCAATGTGTAGTAAATATCATTATTTATCATTAAACTTTAATAATACTGTATCTAAATGTAATGCCTTTTAGTGAAACTGCACTAAAATAGCAATGAACGCCTTAGAGATGCATAATTAGTTGAAAACAAATAGCCTCTAAGTAGAAAAAAACTAAAAAGTAATCTAAGTAAAACGTGGTGAAAATATACAAGAACAATAAACAATAGTCGAGGAAAGTAAGAGACATTAGTTGTTGTGGTACTGAAAAGTTATTAAAAAAGTACCAGGGTACCTTTTTGTTAGAGTATCCGTTTCTTTTATCTTTTCTAATAGTATCTTATGAGATATAATTGCCAAAGATTCCTTCATAGACAGAGGACACTTAGTGGGGGTTCAGTACAACTTGCATACTAGTTGTACTGAACCCCAATAGATGTAGGTAAACTTTTGGCATAAGTAACAGTAAGTGCAGTGATTTGTTGCAGTATAACGAGAATCAGTGAGAAATGTGAGCTGTTTTAAGTTCTAGATGTAAGTTATAGATGTGCATGTGATGTATATACTCATTGTTGGGTACGTAAATGTGCAGACCGTAGTATCATGTCTTATTAGTATGAGTAATTTAGTTGAAAGATTTTAGTTGAAAGTCATTTAAACTGATATAACATAAGCTAGAAGTGAGTTCTAGTAGTCGTATATCATATATATTAAACAAATTTTTGTTACCACTAAATAAACTAGATAAATAGAATAAGGCAATTAGAGAAAAGTAACTTGTATATTTATTTTACAACTAACAATCTAAAATTGCATGGAATTTTGCGACCTAACAGGCTTTCTGAATAGTGGCATACAAATGAACTAAATAGAGAGATACCATGTAGTTTTTGATGCATATCATTAAGTTAGAAAAAAATATTTTAAATGAATAGAAATTTTTCAAGGTTACTTTCAAAAGTTAACCAAGTATTAGGCAAGCTAAACAGAACTAACGGGCAATTTATTTATTACTTACTTGTATACTAGTTCCTTCAGACTGACAACAACTTGGGATGGCAGTTAAGCTTGTTGCTAAAAATTGCGCATATATCTTATTTTCAAACCGATGTTTAACTCAGAAAACATTAAAGAAATGGAGAATGCCCATAAAGATCATCCGAAGGCTATTAATACATTCACAAAGTTTGGGTGTGACATAACTACTTTTATATTCTTATGCATATAAATACGCTACATAATTCAGTATTTGTGAGGAAAAGGTAGTGAAAGTTTTAGAAGATATCAAATGTACTTTTATATCTGCGAAAAACTTTGCAATTGAAGTTTAAGTTAACAAGTCACGATTTAAACAAAATGGAAAATTTTTTCGTTGATACAGTTTTATCAATATAGTTTTTTAAACATTTTCTTTAAAAAAACTATATTGATAAAATTGTATCAACAAAATTTTTATTAATCACTTAAGTAGATTAGTATTTGCTTTGAAACAAGGTATTATATTTTAAGTTTGTTTGTTCTGATGTATAATTGTTGTACAGTTATTGAATAAGTATTCAATATACAATAATTTGCTTATTTTCAGGTTTATATTTTCAAAGATTTCATCAATATATATATATATATATATATATATATATATATATATATATATATATATATATATATATATATATATATATATATATATATATATATATATATATATATATTTTAAGTTTGCTTTTTATAATAACATTTTTCCAATAATTACCTTTATTTGTTAAGACCTCAAAGTATGTCCAGATAACTTGACTTCAAATCAACTTAAAAATGGTTGCGACGGTAAGAGTTTTTTACTTTATTTTTTACTCATTATATCTAGTTAATTTTGTTGTTTAATGATTTTTGTAAAATCTTTTTTTTTTTAATTTTATTATGCAAATTTTTACTTAAAACACGTTAAAAGTGCCTAGTTTGTTATTGCAGTTTGTGATGTATTTTGCCATATTTCTACAATAAACCTATGTTGGTAAATATAATTTAAAATCAATATGGCTGCTTGATCTTTGAAAATTATTATTCATGACTTTTAAATCTCGTTTTTAATTCTTTGGTTTGCAATACTGATTATTTGTAAAACACTTTTACTTACATTTATATATACATCAATTATTTGGAATAAACTAATACATCTTTTTTTTTTTTTTTTTTTTTTTTTTTTAATTTTTATGCTATAATTTTTCTATACAATGTTCTTATATCCGTAGATATTGTTGGCTTAGCATAGGAACAGCCACAAATAGCTATTAAGACTAATCCAAAGTAGCGTCCCTTATTGACCAACAATTTTGTGTACCGAAGTACTACTCAAGAGCTAAGTTGGCAGGGTTTGAATTCGTATCGTACAAAATTCCGGGTTTTTTAAATTTTCGTTTGACACTTTACCCAACTGTATTATCCAGCCACAATTAATTGACCTATTTAATTTTTTTAATATATATCATAAATTTGTTGATTGATTTTTTTATTTTGAACGCTCTATATTTCTAAACAATAATTCTCTGATTATTAAACTGTTTTTTTTTTTTTTTTTTAGAAACTAGGTTTCAGAGATTTTTATAAAAATAAGAACATTACCAGTTCAAAAATGGATCTAATTTTAATACTTATTATGAGAATATAGCAAAACTATTTTCAATAAAGGTTTTCTCTAATTATTCTCCTGAATCTGTTAACCAAATTCCTCTTGTCATGCCAAAGAAATGTATTTATCAACTCTTAGACATATAAAGGACTTGAGTTTCTGCTGGTTAAGGCGTTTTTACTTATACTCCCTTACTTTTTGTGGTCCCAACAGCATTCCTATTTCAGTAATATAAAAGTGTTTTCTAGAACTCTTTAATCAATATAAATTGTTTATCTAATTCTTAAGTTTATCTTATTTTCCTTCACGCTGGAAAATAGAGTCTGTGGTTTTAATTAAAGAAAATTTTGAAGTTTGACCCATCTAAGTATTACTTAACTAAAACAAAACCCTATAAATCTTTTATTAACTTCCAAGACATCAATCTGTGTCAAAAAAATAAAACTCTGACAAGTAATGCATGATCAATATTAATTTCAATCCTCATTTTCTTCTGCTAACTTTTGTCTGCATTTCGTCGTTAATGGACAACACTCTCCATTTACTTCAGGTTTCATACTTGGTTTTCAGTTGTTGCTGATGACACAACAATGTACTTTAAACAATATCGGACAATATAGTTGATGAAACAGCTAAATTTCCGGTCTAATCTTGAATCTGATTTCTCTTCTATGACAGCTTGGTGTTTACAAATTTTAAATCTGAAAATTTGTAAACAATACTTAGTTGATTAATGTTTTTCACAAATGCTGTAATTGTGTTTTTTTTGGATATTGTGATTTTGATATATATTTTTTTCAAATCATAAGGTGTTCAGAATAAAATGTAGAGCTTTTTTGTCAATATTCTTATTTTGTTCTGGTTTATGGTTTGTAATCAGGCTTGTAGAGCGAAGACTGAGCCGGGGAGCTGCTGCTTTTTGGTAAAAATTCGGAGCCAGACCCGCAAAAACTAAGAAGACCATTGGCTCTCGTATTTTTTTTGTGAAATAGAATGTTTTTTTATTTTTTTTTTTTTTTACAGTTAACAACTATTCTTGAATTAAAGAAAAACTTCTTTTTAGATTTTCAATTTTTAATTGCTTTATTAAAAAAAACAGTCTTGCAAAAACGTACTACATGATGTATATAATAACAACTTTGAATTTAACAAAATACTATGCTTTATTAGCATTTCCTATTATGTTTTATTTAAAAAAAACAAAAATCAAGTAAGTTATATATGGAAACATTCTAACAAAGTTTCATATATAATTTATATTAAATTTTTATATTGATATCATGCTGTTATATATTGGATGCTCTATTTAATGATCAAAGGTTATTCATATCTTGAAATTTATACTTTGATTTAGAACTATAAACCCTAGTTTTGGGTTAATAGTACATAGAAGTAAGTGTACATTTACCCTAAATATTTTTTTTTATATATATAATCCGGTAGTAGAGATCTACTACCGGATTATATATATAAAAATCTAAAGTAATTACAACAATTAATTTTTATATCAACTTTCATGTTTTTAAGGTGAGTATATTACTCTCACTACTTTTATATTTATAATCCGGTAGTAGTGAGAGTAATATACTCACCTTAAAAACATGAAAGTTGATATAAAAATTAATTGTTGTAATTACTTTAGATTTGAATAGACATTTAGCAACTTTTGTTTATAAAGTCTGGTAGCCGGAGCCGGACATTTCTTAGGAGGCGGAGCCAAAACACTTCTCGGCCTAACAAGCCTGTTTGTAACGCGAGAAATTTTAACTATAATTTTGAAATAATTATTAATAAGTAATACTTATTTTACTTTAAAACACGATCTCCTCAATCTTGTTTCTAATTCCACAATTTAATGAAAAAAAAACATGTTTTATTTTAAACCAAGCTAGCGAAAAGTTTTTTTAGTAATCAACTTTTTATAAAATATTTGAGTCAAAAAACATTATCGCTTTCACTCAAAACTCATTATTTTTTTCGCGGTCGCTTATTTAGTATTCATGTTTTTCCATCAAGCAAAATACCACAAACTTGTTTCTTTACTTTGCAGATAAGTTTATCAGTATGCAATTTTTTTTATTTTAAGGCTGCGCAACTGGTTATAAGTTTAATATTACATCTGGTCATTGTGAAGGTATATAGTTTTATTTATTTTTATATTATTATAACTTAATTACATATTCATTTAATATTTTTGCTGTTATTTTACACTATGTAGAGAAAAACATGCCATAAATAGATCAGAATTAAATTATTGGTTTCAATTAATTGATACTTTTTTAAAGTTCTTATAGATATATCTTATAACATTGATGTTATTTTGTTGAAGTTGTTCTAAAAACTGTTGATGTTTTTACAAATGTTACTAGTAAGCAACCAGAGGCAGTGTAGACTATTTGTAACGCAAAATTTTTTGCTGAAAAGTCCATGATAACATTTGGTGAGAAGATTGTTAGATATTAGGTGAAGAATAACTTTCTATTTGATATTGAAGAGAATACTCGATTTTAAGGTTTAATAGTAAAGAAAGATTTGAATACCTTGCTTAGTTGGTTGTGCTCAAAAAGGACAAATTCATGCTTGTGATTCTTATTTTACGAGATTTTAAATTCACTTGTAACAACCAGTTGTTTTCAAAAAATTGGTTCATAATTTTTGATTGGAAAGTTAGAGATAAAAACATTTAAAAAAGTTTTTATCTCTAAGTTTCGAAAAAACTAGAAAATATATCTGCTGCAAGATTTTTAGGTCATAAGTTAAATTAAAAATTATTTAAAATTTCATAAATTTTTTTTTTTTTTGGTTATAACAAAAATACATTAAAATATTTGTTAACATGAGTGTGTATTACGTAACGCAAACATAACATAGATAAATGACGAAAACAGTAAAAATCATCAAAAGACGTAATAAAATGCGTAATTAATTCATTAGTTAAAATTTCTAATTGTCTAAAAAAACAAAAAACGCAGATACTTACAAAAAACCATAAAATCTTGTCATCAAATACTGCCTAAACAGGTTTTAAATAAAAAATAATTGCTTAACAATGCTTATATATGTATTTACCTATAAATACATATATAATTATTCTCAAACATATAAACATACAAACATGTAAATACTTATACCCAACTAGCACACTTACATTGGGCTAACATATGTAAAGCCATCGCAAACATTGGGTCTTTTTTCCAACGCAAAACCAATGTTAATCGAATGTCATTTGGTTAATAAAAAAATTATTACTGACGAAACTAAAAATATCTGGCAAATTTACATTGGTTCAATGTATGTAAAAGCATCGCAAAAAGTTTACAATCTAAACCCAACGTTGATCCAATGTATAAATCTCGATCTTGATTCTTTTTTTTTTTTTTTTTCAATTTATTTGTCATTAAAAAAAAAAGAATACAACGCCGTGTTATATAAATAAAATCTACATGACCGGGGCTAAAAGAAGACAATATTTGCCTTATCACTATACCCCAAGTCTTTTCATCAGCAAGCGTGTATAACCATTAAAATGTAAACATAAATCATAAAATTACTTTGTAGCATTTAAAAATTATATACAAATATGTTAAGATCAGTTACTAATCTATAATCAAAAGAAAATCGTAAACAAAAAAAAAAAAAACAAAAAAAAAAAAAAACACAAAAAATCACACCAAAGAAAAAATCAAAGAATCACCAAAGAAAACAATCACCAAAGAAAAAAATCACCAAAGTAAATAATCACACCAAAAAAAAAAATCACACCGAAGATAAGTTAATAGGATAATTAATGAAAATTTAAATTGGTTAGACTAGTTAATAAGGTAGTTGTTAAAAAAGAAGATAAAAAAATCTTAAAAAGAATTTAATTCATTAACATCGTTAAGAAGTTTTTATTTGACTTTTTGTTTAAATAGAGAAAGTGAAAAACAATTTTTCAGCTGGTTATTTAATAAATTGTTCCTTAAATTAGAACCTCTGATGGCAATAGAAAATTTAGTAGCCAAATAGTGTATTTTAGGTTGCTCGTAATTGTAATTTGAAAATCTTGTACGGTACACGTGATTAATTTTAATGAAAAATGTATAAAAAATTATAGGATTTAATTTATTATGTAGTTTGTACATAAATATAAGAAATTGATAAAGGTTTAACTAAAGAACATTGAGTATGTGATGATTTTTGAATAGTTCTTTAAAATATGCGAATCGACCTGCATTTGAAATAATCCTGAAAGCGTGTTTTTGTCTACTAAGCAATTTTTTAACTTTACTTACATTAGAGCTGCACCATGCAATATTTGCATAGTTTATATAACAATGTATGAGGAAGAAATATAGGATTTTTAAGCAGTTTTGATTTAAGATTTGCTTAGCTTTGTTTAGTATGCCAATATTTTTCAAAGTTTTATTTTAAATTGTTCTTATGTGTTTTCTCCATGTCATGACTTCGTCAAGTGTCACTCTTAAAAACTTTAATGATGACTCTCTAACTATTTTATAGTTGCCAATGTACAGATCAGGAAGTTTTAATAGAGTATTTTCTTTATCGTGAAGTCTATGAAAAAAAGTATATTTAGTTTTACTTAAATTTAAGGACAATTTGTTTGCCTTAAACAATTCCGCTAGATTTAAAAATTCCTTGTTTACTATTTTAAAGAAGAAGTTTATATCTCCATTAGAATAGAATAAAATTGAATCCTCTGCAAATAAAACTGAGTTTAAAATGTTTGAAAACTTATGGAAATTGTTTACATAAATAAGAAATAAAAGTGGACCCAGAATTGAGCCTTGGGAAACACCGCAAGTAATAGTCAAGTATTCAGTTTTTATTTCTTCGTGTGCTAGTTATTGTTTTCTATTGTTTAGAAAACTTTTGAGCCATTCTAAATATGTACTTTTAATACCATAACTTTTGAGCTTTTTTACATGAATGCTATGGTCTACTGTATCAAAGGCTAAGACCTATAAACTCTTCTAGGGTAAACTTACTTTCATCAAATGCTTTAAATATTAATAATGGCATGGTCAGTTGAATACCTTGGTTGAAATCCAAATTGTTTGTTATATAGAATATTATTTATATTTAGAAAAGTCAAAATTCGGTTAAACATAATTCGCTCTAAGATTTTGGAGAAGCAAGGAAGAATTAAAATTGGTCTGTCATTTTTAGGATTAAATAATTCTCCTGACTTGAAAATAGGTATGACCCTCGCAATTTTTAGTTTCTCTGGATAAATGCCTAGTTTTAAAGAGAGATTAAAAATATGTATAAGAGGGATTGTTAAGTACTTTATTGATTTTTTAGTTACGTTACAACTAATATTATCAAACCCCACACTTTTGTTTAGTTTTAAAAAGTATATTGAATCTAAGAGTTCCTTTTCAGTAATTTTATAATTATCCATCTTAGAGGTCTTATTAGGAGTAAGATATGACTCAAAGTTTACTTCAGTAAATTTTATTTTCGACGCTAAAGTGGAACCAACACTGACAAAATATCGATTAAGTGTTTCAGCAGTTAAAGATTTATTTGTAATAGTTTTATTATTAATGTTTAGTTTTATAGGAAGACTGTTTCCGTCATTTTGTTTCTTGCCAATTACTTCCTTAATTGTGTCCCAGGGTTTTTTTGGATCATTTTTATGTTTTATTAAATGCTCCGTATAGTAATATTTCTTTGAATTTTTGAAAAAAACACATTTCTAATTTAAACTAATTAAACTAATTTTTGTAATTAGTTTCATTATTAAAATTTTTTTTTAAAAACTTATTATAAAGCCGTTGCTTTTTTTCGACAACTTTATAGTTCTAGGCGTTATCCATGGATTTAATAATGTTTTTTTTTTCACACATTTTGTAATTACAGAAAAAGCCGAATTGTAAAGTTGTTGTAATTTATCAATAAACTTATCGTATGCTTTATCTGCGTGTTCATTATCAAGAAGTTCATCCCAATTTGAATCTGATAAAAGAGTATTAAAATTTTCCATGGATTTTTCATTTATATTTAGCGTACTTTTTTTTAACTTTTTGTGCATAAATGTTATTACATTTTTGTGAGAAAAGAAATACAGGGAAATGATCTAAAATGTCGCATTTAAATATTCCTGTTTTTATTTTTGATTTTAATTCATTGGTGACTATTTGATCATATAGTTGCGCTTTCTCTAGTTATTCATATCATTTCTCTAGTTAACTATTATATAGTTGCGCTTTCTCTAGTTATTCTTGTGGGTTTATTAATTAGTGGAATAAAGCCTTTCTGATATATGACGTTAAAATATTATTTATATTTGCATTTAAATGACTCATGTTTAGGTCAGGGTTAAAATCACCTATAAAATAAATCCTTTTATTTTTGCTTAATTTATTTTTAATTATATCTTTAATGTGCTTTTCGAATTGTTTTATTGAGCCGGAAGGTGGTCTGTATAAAACGTAGATGATATTTTTTTTGAGGTTTTATTTATTATTTCCACACATAGTGATCCACAATCATTAGCGGTGGAGCAAAAATTTTTTTTAAGCTTGTATAATAAAGAATTATTTATAAATATACACAAACCTTCTCCTTTCTTCCCAGACCCTCTAAATTGATGAATGACTTTGTAATTTGGTAGCTGAAAATTTGTATTTTTCTCTATATGTTCACCATTACACCATGTCTCGATGAGACTAATAATTTTTAAAATCAAATTTAACCTCGCATAAAATTTTTTTAAATAATTCAAAATTTTTTGAAAAACTCCTAATATTTAAATGTAAAATTGAAAATGAATTTACATCTAGTCCTTGCATTATGATTTCAGATGTAGCGTCATAATATAAAGTATAATTATTTAGAAATACTTTGTTGTTACTATAAAAATTAATATCTGGATCAGAATTATTATCTAGAAGTATACTACTTTTATTTTGTAATTCAATGTATATAAATCAACGCTTTCCAATATATGTAAAAACATCGCAAAAACTTAATTGTTTATAAGATAATCTTATTTATGCCACCAAACATTGCTATTGCGAAATTATATAATTTAAATAAAATCTTCCGCTTTTATTAAAATATCAAACCACAATCAACACAAACATGATTTTTGTTTCAATGATTAAGATTTTATCAGCTTTTAATATGATTTTATTCCAATGTATTTCAATTTTATCCAATTTTATTCTGATGATTAAGCATATTTTATATTTATA